GTGTACTTTTATATTTATATATAACTAGCTGAAGAGCCCGGCGTTGCCCGTGGAAAAAATCAAATTATTTTGAAAAAAACATTTGAAAAAAGAAGAAAATTTTTCTTGAATTTGTTTAGCCTATAACACTCCTCGGCCACCCTTGAGTATCCACAAAAAAATTCAGCCCATTCGGTCCAGCCATTTGGCCGGCTATAAGAAACATATATATACAAATGTCTTGTTTTATTATATAGATTTTAAATCCCCTTCTTCCCCTTCGCTTTCATTGTTACAATAATTATTACTTGTTTTTAAACAAAGAAACAAACCAATTTCTGCCAAAATAAGATTTAAATTCAGATTATTTTATTTGTTTGAATTTAGCTAATTATTAAACAGAAATAATATTAGTTTCCTGTTGGTGAATATGGGGGGGACGGAGAGGGGATTTCTTTACCAGGAGATGCAGAGTCTGATATAAATAATAACAGAATTAATAAAGAAATAAACAATCTTTCTAATAGAAAACCTTAAAAGTTTCATTTGAGTGGAATGTGGAGATAAATGCCTTCTTCATCTTAACAAGAGATAAATTCGGTCTTATTTGTTCATGGTCTCTGCTGCAATTTTAAATTTTTGTAAATTTTGATTTAGTTTGAAAATTTAGGACATCTGTAACATTCAGACCAAAGATAAAAGATTACCACTGAGAATAGAACATGTAACACTTGGTTGCTAATAAGTTTAAGGTCCTTGAAAAAAAAAAATTTACCTGTATTTCTATGAGGGCTGTCCTCTATTGAAGGGGTAGAACAGGGTCTATTCCCCCCCTCTATCCCTCCATCAAGGGGTGTAGATGATCTAACAGTATGAGGGGAGCCGGGGGTGTTGCCCCTATCCTGCCCCCCTCCAAGAAGCTCTAAATGTTTTCTCCAAGAGGACAGAATATCCTCTCCTCCTCCTAAGCTATCGTGTCCACCTAGAAAAATATATTTCAAAAACGCAAAAAAAATGTATTTATTGTGAAAAATAATTTTTTGGTTTCCTTTAATTTAAATCATTTAATTGAAAGATATCGTCGTTATTCTTGCTTTTAAATTGTTTAATTTAGACAGATCAAAAGTGATGAATTTTTCCAGAGAAACCGCAATTAAAAATAATTAACGTCTTAAGATACCTCATGCTCAGACACAGCTTTTAAAGGGACAGACCGGCTATGTAAGGTAGTTGAACTGAGTATGCAGTGCGGTGGACAAATTCTTTAGGATTCATTTAATACATATAAAACTTTTTAAAGATCTGTAAATCCAGAGTTTGAGCGGAAAAATTAAAAAAATTTATTAAATTTATTTTAAAAAACCGATTCTTGAAACGTGTGATTTTGAACGTCGATATTGCGCTCAAACTCAGTAACTATACATCGTGGAAAGTTTTTTATGTCTGAAATGAATCCTAAAGAATTTGTCCACAACACTGTATACTCAGTTTAACTACCTTACATAGCCGGTCTGTCCCTTTTAAGGTAAGTTACTGTGAATTGAATTGCCACTTAATTGTCCATTCCCTTTAAATTGTATATTATAGAGGAAAAATGTAAATGAATGTGACCCCAAGATGACTAAATTAAATTTAGAAAAATCTCAAATTTAAACTTGAAATGAATACATCTTAAGAGGGCAAAAAGAAATATAAATAGAGAGAGAGAAGATTGAATATCAAACAGATAGACAGATAGACAGATAGACAGATAGACAGATAAAGAGATAGAGGAAGACAAACATATCAGTTTACCTAAAAACAGTCTAAACAGTTGACATTCCTCCCCCCCCCCTCCCTCCCCTCTTCAGTGAAAAGGATGATTTAAAAACATCTATTTCAAAACCCTTTCAAATATTTGATATTTTTAAAGACAGCTTCCCTTAAAAAGTGCCGAAAAACCAAAGACTGTTTTTACCCCTTCCTCCCTTTTTTCCACCTTAATCCTTTCTTTTTGCCTAAAAATTGATTTTGCCTCCTAATCCTAGAATACAACTGCAGGGTCTAGAGTTTCAGTATAAAAAGGAGCAAAAACCTCACCTGTACACTGTACACTCGGCAATACAGATATAAGGCCGACAACGTCAACAAAATAAAAATAAAATTTAAAGGAACTACCTTGAAATTCCGCCAATGCTTGAAGAACTGGATTCCCGTTTCCTCCGCCATTAATAGATCCTCCGCCACCAGCTAGGTTTAAAATCATTTTCATTCGGATTTGTTGCTGTAAGCTCTCTACTATACTAGCCTGAACAGAATTGATATTTAATTGATTTTGAATTTTGTCATAGATTAATTAGCCTTTAATTGGTCATTGATTGATCGTTAATTGGTTATTGATTTATCATTGATTTATTATTGATTGATCATTGATTGATCATTGAATGGCCATTGATTGATAATTGAATAATCATTGATTGATCATTTATTGATCATTTATTGATCTTTGAATGGTCATTGATTGAACATTGAATGGTCATTTATTGATTATTGAATGGTCATTGATTGAACATTGAGTGGTAATTGATTGATTATTGAATGGTCATTGATTGAACATTGAATGGTAATTGATTGATCATTGAATGGTCATTGATTGATCATTGAATGGTCATTGATTGCTCATTGAATGATCATTGAATGATCATGGAATGTTCATCGATTGATCATTTAATGGTCATAGATTGATCAATGAATGGTCATAGATTGATCAATGAATGGTCATTGATTGACCATTGAATGCTCATTGATTGATAATTAACTGATTGTTTATAAATTGGTTAAAGATATATAAATGAAAGGATAGAAGGATGAAAGGAGGAAGGAAAGGAAGAAGGGAGGGAAGAAAGAATGGAGAGAAGGAAGGAAGGATGAATGCATGAATGAATGAATGAAAGGATGAAAGGCAGATGGACATAGTATTCCCTTTTGAATATGGACTGGTGGAATTTTAAAACAAAAGGAATAATTCAGAGTAGACTAGTAGACTCACACCTAGATAAAGAGAAAATACTCTCCCCCCCCCCAGTTGGGTATTTTAGGGGGTCAAGGGGGGGGGGACTTTGTCACAATACTCCTTTTAAAATGCATTTGTCTTTTTTTCATGATGAAAATGAATATCTTCTGATAATCTTTTCATTTACAATAACAATTATAGCTAGCATTTACTTATAATGATTTAAATTTATAATTACTTATAGTTATCCTTGAATGGATCCTGTAATCCCTCAATATATTTAGGATGTCGTCTTTGTTACAGCGAGCTATTGCAGAAGAAAAAACTTAGAAAACGCCAAAACCTTGGATTAATCAAAGTAGTGTGTTAAAAAAATTAATGAAATAGCGGATTTTTGGTCGAAATTCTTAACTAAAGCATAACATTTAAACAACTTAAAGACTTCTCTCAAAAAATAATTCTTAAGCGGCCAAGCCTTATTTGACATAAATACATGGTTTATAATAAACTCATTTTGTNATATACAAAACTGTGACCCCCTCCCCTTTTAAACATAAAATGAAAATACACAACGGATGTTAAAAAAACCTAAATTGCAATCGAATTGTATTTTGATTTGTAAGCCTTTCCATTTATTTTAATGTTTTTAAACAGTGTGTCTCTCTAAACATGACAGTTGGGAGACGGGTTAAAGATCATCGTTCATCTTTGAAACAATTTGCAACATTTATTCGTCAACCTTATTTTGCAAGAATGATTGTTGAAACAATAGGAATAAAATTTCTTTGATCTTTTCAAAGGTCAAAGACGACCTTTACGGTCCCTTAATTCTTATGTTTTGTGGACACTGAATACATCTAGTTTAAAACAGATAGAAAGATAGATAGATAGATCGATAGATAGATAGATCGATAGATATATAGATAGAAAGATAGATAGATAGATAGATAGATAGATCGATAGATCGATAGATCGAGAGATAGATAGATCGATAGATAGATAGATCGATAGATCGATAGATCGATAGATAGATAGATCGATAGATCGATAGATCGATAGATCGATAGATCGATAGATAGATAGATAGATAGATAGATAGATAGATAGACAATTAGATAGTTAGATAGATATATTAAAAATAGAACGGTGTTGATATGTTGGATTAGCTGATTTGATAATTTGATATTCAAACATTGATTTAAGCTAAATGAAAAGATAGTAGAATGATTAATTGACAAAAAGTTCAGAAAACCTTGGGTAAAAAATATTTGATAACAACTGGTTTAAATTAATTGCTTAATTAATTATTAAGTAAAGAAAGATCTAAAAAGATGTTTATACTGGAAAAATTGTAATCTATCGAAAACAACGTAATACGATAATCATGGTGGTTTCAAGTTTAGGGACTGTAATTCAAGTGTAGGGACTGTAATTCAAGTGTAGGGACTGTAATTCAAGTGTAGAGACTGTAATTCAAGTGTAGGGACTGTAATTCAAGTGTAGGGACTGTAATTCAAGTGTAGGGACTGTAATTCAAGTGACTCTCCTTTAAAAAAAGTGGAATACCTAATTCACAACGGTACCCTTTTAACCTTTATCTTAACCACTATAGTATGCTGAGTCCATTGGCGCCTGATCCAATCAGGGTTCAGTCATGTTTTGTTGTCTATTCTGAACCAATAGAAATAGTACGGCGGAAACATCTATCTTTCTATCTATCTCATTATTCAATCAGAGTTATAAATTCTTCAATCGGCGCTATAACAGTAAATGGAAATATTTACTTCTATTGAAACTATAGTGAAACAATCGTGAAGAAGAAATAATCAATTTCACAGAAGAAAATGTGGATATCTCATTGATTCTTGATTAGATATAGGTCTTTATAAAACTGTTGTGAATTGAACATGCCACTTTAACCCTATTCCTGCTGGGGAGGGTCAATTTGACCCCCCCCCCCTGTAGTTTTTTTTACATAACTCAAAAAGTATTGGTCTGAGGCTGTTGAAATTTTCTGACTTTTCTTATATACCCAAAGCCCTCCCTTTAGGCCTAAAACCGGGTATTCAATTTTCGCAAATTTGCAATTTTTTTTGCAGATTCTAAAAGTAGAGCACAAGAGCTTTCTAATGATGTATCATTTGTCATATTTGGACATAAAACATGGGATTTAGAGGGGGGGGTCAAATTGACCCCCCCCCCCAGCGTATCCTGGTTTTCAAGTACCCCAGTAGGGATAGCGTTAATAATGGAGTGTCACTTAATATGACGTTTGAACTTGCATAAATGTTTTAGAAATAACAAGTAAAGTCCCTTATGTTCCCTTGCATTTCCTTGTATTCTGCACAGTCCCTTTAATTACCTTGAAATAAGGAGTACAGTTCCTTTAGTTACCTTGAAATAAGGCATACAATCCCTTTAATTACCTTGAAATAAGGAGTAAAGTCCCTTTAATTACCTTGTCAGCTAGCTCCTGCCTGAGCTTGTTAATGGTCTCCTCCGTCTCCTGCTGCAGGTTAACCAGGCTACTCTGCAGTTCAGATACCTGGCTCACCAGCCCAACCTACAAATATATAGATAAATAGATATATAGATAGATATATAGATAGATAGATAGATAGATAGATATATATATATAGATAAATAAATAGATAGACATACAGATAGATAGATAGATAAATTTATAGATAGATAGATAGATAGATAGATAAATATATAGATAGATAGATGGATAAATAGATAGATAGATAGAGGGATAGATATCTAGCTAGATAGATATGGATGAACAGCAAATTAACACCAATTTGCACCAAACATTACAAATATTTCACTATTTTAAATTTAAATCCGGTAACATCATACATTGTTAATTTTCCAATAGTGGGGGGAAAGGGGGGGGGTATACCACCATCCGACTGAATTTAGTGTCAATTTGATTTAACATTATTTTGCAATTATTTTGAGTGTGTCAATTTGTTGCATTGGGTAAATGGCAAATTAAATTTGATTTAAATTGAGCAAGTCGAGTTGTACAAAAATTTGCAAGAGAAAAAGAATGGTCAATTTTCTGCTGAGGAGTTTAATCTTATTTATTTTCTTAGACAATGTATGTGTGTAGATTGATTGATTAAAAACGAGAAACAAATTAATAAAAAAGTTGTTTGACACACGCTATAAAGAGCCCGACATGAGGCGATAACATATGTACACATATTTAACAGTTTATCATCAAACTAATTAAAGCGCAGTAAGCCAGAAATTTAATCATTTCAAATTTAAATTTAGAATTTAAAGGTACTGTAGGTGGCAGTTTACATTTATCCCTCTTTTCTAGTATTGTATGTTTGATTCACTAAGGTACCCTTCCACTGAACATTAATAAGAAAGGGGTTGTCGTTTTTTATGCCTTGACAGGTGTTAGATTCCGACAATTTTCGTAAATCCGCAAATCAAAACCACAGAAGAAAATACTCAATTTTTAGATAATCAAGCGAAAATATATCATTCATCTTAGGTGTAGCACTGCTGCGAATAGGATATAGCATTTTAAAAATGAAGATGTATTCAAATTTTTCACTCTTAAAAATGATGAATTTCTAAAACTAAATTTTCTTTTTTGTCTGGGCTTTGGCGTTGAATTATATATTTCAAGTTAAATTGAAGGGTTGTTGATTTGTGCTCATAAATCTTAATTCAAAACTGAAGAAACATGATGTTAGTGGAAAACATACGATTTATTTCTATGGAAGGATTGAGATGTTAAATAAAGTGATGAAAGAAGCGGGGGAATAAGAACTAGGATTGGAGGGGGGGGGATAGGCTTTGAGGGGGAAATAAGCATATAAGGGGTAAAAGGGAGGGATTAATGGGTGAAATGGGTTTTGGAGGAGGGAAGGGGGGTTTAAGGGCAAAAAGGGGGGGGTTGGAGGAGAAAGGTGACTTTAAGAGGGAAAAGGTGGCTTTGAGTGGAAAAAGGCTTTTATAAGGAAAAGGGGGTTTTGCGGGGAAATAAGGCTTGAAGGGAGAAAAGGAGGATAAAAGGAAAAATGAGGGTTGATAGGGAAGGCAGGGTGGAAAGGGGGAGAGGAGAATTGACGAGTTGGGAGTATAGGATACGAAATAGGGAAAATAAGGAAGGAGAGTTTGTTAGGTGGAAAAGAGGGAGTTGGATGAAATTAAATAGAATTGTGGGAAAATAGGAAAAGGAAAATACAAAAAAAAATTAAGGAATTGTTAGAAATTAGGATTAAAAAAAATGAATTTCAACCATGAGAACTTTTATATATAAGAGAAACAGAAAATTAAAAAGGTCACCAAAATTCTAGAAAAAATACTAAATCAAAATATTCAATATAAAATAAATACTTACAGCGCCCTTCCCTCCGTCCACATTCCTGTCCTCTTGGTCCCCGTTGGTTTCCTTTCCTCCATATCCGGGGTAGGTTGGAGAACCAGCTCTAGGATATGTTGGAGAACCTGCTCCAGGGTAGGTTGGAGGAGAACCTGCTCCACATGGAACCATCTAGAACATGAACAATTTAGGGAGAGTCAACATCATCATTCGAAAAGAACAAATTTGACTTCAACTTATCATTTTAATAATTTTTAACTAACTAATGTTGATTTTCATTCTTTAACAGAAATTACTATAATATGATATATTTAAATGGCGGGATATTATTTTTATCAAATTGACTCTTGGGAAACTAAGTAAAATAACCTCCCGCCTAAAATATTAAACCGATAAACATGATTTTTTTTGAAAATTTGATAATAATGAAATTAAACGTATTTTAACCTTTTTATTATTTGGATCTCTATAAGCAGTCTCTAAACCACACCCATTAAATGAACTAGAGAAGAAACTACTTCCTAAAAAAGTGAGAGAAAAAAATGAAAAAAATATTGTTTTTCTTTTAATTTTTTTTAAATTCTTTTTTTTGTCTCCAATATTTATTTGATTTTCTATTTGGAATCTTATTTACTGTTTTAAATATTTTTTAAGAGTTTTTATTTTTTAACGTTTCGTAATGCAAAAACAAAAAAACAATTTGATTTTTACACTTGCGTGTAAAATGTTAAATATAAAAGTTACGAAGTCTCAAAGTGGAGAAAATAGTTTACTTCATCCAAATGTTGAGGTTAGAGTTATTCAAGAAAAAAAATGCTGTTTTCAAAAAAAAAATATCTTAAAATTGTTGTTTACCATTTTCTGTAGGGTAATTGGTGATACTGGCCACATTTCCGTCACATTTCTGAATTAATCATTTTTAAGAAAAAAAAATATAAAAAAAATTTTAATTACAAATTTTTTTTTTACAAAATTTGATGAACGAAATTTTTTTTTAAAACTTTTATTATTCACTTTTTTTAACAAAATTTTAATTACAATTTTTTTACAAAATTTTATTACAAATTTTTTTACAAAATTTTAATTACACATTTTTTTTACGAAATTTTTATTACAAAATTTTTTAGGGTTCGAAGTATTTCTTACCATATTTGAGATCAGGGCAGCGGCATCAGACACTTATCTGAAATAAAATTTCTTTAAGAAAAAACAGATTTGTTTTTTAATAATTTTATTTATAATAGCCGAAGCTGATGGATGTTTCACGAACAACAAGAAGAAAGTAGAAGAACAAAAATATGTTTATGAATGATTTTGTAGAATCCTGAATCCTGAGAGTTTACAGAACATTTCCAAATATATTTATTTTTCAAAAATATTGAATAAATTGGTTAATATTGATATTGGTTGAATATTTATATTTATTGGAGAGATAGGATTAGTATTAGGGTTTCAGAATATTGGAAAGAGGGGGGGGAGGTAGGGAGATGGGGGAAGGGGTACAATATTCATAATATTGTTAATGCAGTATTCGATTCCATTTGAGTAGTTGAGAGAGTTTATCTGTCTGTCTAACTAACTGTTTGTCTGCTCTTTGTCCTTTCATTTGATTTGTCCAAGTATTGTTTGTTTGTCCGTAAACTCATCTGTCTGTCTGTTTTATGTCCAATATCCGGCAAATATTAAACCCACATAAACCTTGGCTATCTTTCTATCTACTTCTTTAACCAACACTGTCTATATATAAATCTATCTAACCTTCTATCTATCTATCTATCTGTCTAATTATCTATGTTTGTTGTACATTTTGGGTATATCCCTGATTATCTAATAAACTTGGGAGGGGGGGGGAGGGTCAAAATAAGTAAGCAAGGAAACTTAAAGAAAAAGTGTCGCAAAGGGGGGTTAGTTGAATTATCATGCAAGCTGATAGTTCCAATACATCCTTCGTATAATCTGCTAATGGAAGATATCTAAAAATAAAAAGAAAATCCTTTTAATTTTTCATCATATTATTTTATCAATTTGGTTCAAACTAGAATTACTTAATTTTTTTAACATAAAGGGTCAGTTGCCGAAATTTCAATTTAAAGAGTTGAATGCCACTTTACATTTTTCTAAACAAAAATGATGGAGCTATCCCTTTTTTCTATCTTACACTCGAAAAAAATTGTGCTCATCATATACCCAGTTATAAAGTTCAAGGGTACCATTGTGAATCGAATGCGACTCTAGAAGACAATTACTTTTTAAATTCTTAATTAATTTAAAAATGTATGTACACGATATTATCGTAAAATAGTTTTATTTAGTACATGTAAACAATTTTGCACAATTAATATAATCTCGATACGGAGATAATAAATATCTAGATCTCAAAAAAGAAGATAATTACGTGCAAGTTCCTTTAAATACAATTATAAATTAAGATTAATAAATAAAATAATCTAATAATTAGCAAAAATGATTTGTATGAAAGTAATTGTCATTAATAATGTGTACAAAGTAAAACATTAAGAATTTTCTCCCCCTCAAACAATATGAAAATGGATCCAATTTGTTAAACTTTGACAGAAATTGCAAAATAAGACAAAGTTTATTGAAAAATTTGATCTGTTTGTTTTTGTCCTTTTCTTTATAAACCTCATAAAAAATGTATTCTATCCGATTACTCGCTCAAGATTTATTTTCTAAAAATAAAAAAGAATCAAAATTGGAAAAATACATTTAAAAATTTTAGGGAAAAAATCACTTTTAATAAAAAAGATAATTTTTTTCTCTCCAAAGTATCCCTGTTTTGAGTAACCCCTGAAAACTTTGGTTTATAGATGAGAAAATTTCCTAAAACTTAGAAAAAACAAGATTTGTTCAATACAAAGGTAATAGATAGATGGATTAACAGATAGATAGATATATAGATAGTTTTATGGATAGCTAGATAGATTGGTTCCTATATATGATTAATGAGATTTTGATATTCAGATTTATCCATCAAATTCCCCTGATACCATTTTATAGACAACGTAGTGTTAGTTAGATAGATGTATAGATATATAGAAAGATAGATAGATAGATAGATACTTAGATATATAGATAGATAGATAGATAGATAGATAGTCAGAGAGACAGCATGGAGATAGTTAGGCAGACACACTGTTTATTGATTGATTGACAGAAAGGACGGTTGAAACATTTATTTTTAACATCTTTCTTTGGGACGAAAAAACGAAATCTATTCACGGGAAAAATCGGAAAATAACATTTTTCAATTTTTTCAATTAGTTACTTTTTTTATCGTTTAGGTTTATACGATGATGGAAGGCCGTAAAAGTAAACAAACAGAAACAATTTAGTTCACATTCTCAAAGTTAAAATTTAAGATAGAAGGTATGGGGGGGGGTTGTGAGATTAAAAATATTTGTTCTTCAAATTATTTATTTTTCCTCTGTTGGTTTATGAGTTTCCAATAAACGCAAAAACGATTAAATTGAAAAAAAAACTATTTCTCCCAAAAAACTTGAAACACATTTTTTCTTTGAAAATCCACCAAATAAAACAGAAAACGTGCGAAATTTTAAAATGTATAAAAATGTAAAAAAAACCAAGGGTTGCATAAAGATCAGCAAAAAGAAATACAGTGTTGCCCATAAAAGATGACCTGGAACCTGAAATATGACGATTCTACGGAAAATTAATTATTCAGCCTTGAAGAAGAATTTTTTGAGGTGTTTAAAAAATTATTTCCTCCTTAAATTCTAATTTGGATTTTTCTTATAATTTATAAATAGATAATTACTTACTTACTTGAGTAAAAGTAAATTCAACCTATTTGAAGCATAAAGTCTGACCGCGTCAAACCTGTTGCACCGGCTAGTCCTGTCCATAAAGCTAGCTACAGTACAAACTGGGACCGGAAAGGTTGACCCGGCGCGGATATTCGAATGTGTCGTGGCTGTCCGTGTATATAATGATTTTGGAGTTTTACAGTGACAAAGAATAATGGTTAAAACAAATCTAAAATAAAAATTCCGTCGTCTTTAATTTCTCATCCTATGTGGGTAATCCTGTATATCTTCTCGATTTTATTATTTGATTTTTCATCTATTCATAAATTTCTTTCTTATTTTCCGTGAATAATATGTTCTAGAAGGATCCTTGTGTTGTATTGAGTTTAAAACTTGAAAATGCTTTGATCTGTTAATCTATCTATCTATACATCTCTTTTAATAGATCTATCTATCTATCTTTTTCAGATTTTATATAGTTTAGGAGCTTTCAATGGTTTCACACAAATACACCCTTGCTTCTTTGTGAAAAAGGGCGCCCCCCTCTCTCTCTTCCCTTTTCGACGCTTAATTCTAAATTGAATATAAAATACAACTCTTTAGAAATCTTTGCTTCTATAAGTGGAAAGTCAGATAAATATATGTATTTGATAAAAATGAAAAATTTAAATTTCATAAATTTTCAAAAAACAATTCCCCCACACAATATGCAGTACTTTTCTCATTAGAATTATTTGAAAAGGGACTTGTCTTGATGCAAAACAAAATGTTCATTGCAACCTTTTTAATGCGAAACTTGCAACTGCCCATAACTAAATATACAGTTAAGTAGTTCAACTATTAAAACACAGTATTTCAATATTAGAAACTATTTCAATTCTTGCAAATTAAAAATATACTAAAGGGACTGTTAATGAAATAAACTAATTGCGACGTTTGAAAAGGTACGGTTTGGATGATTAAGGATTTGGATAGAATTAATGGAATGAGAAAAGAATGGATAGAATAGATTGGATGATATAATTGACCGTATAAAAGGATAAAATGGAAAAATGACTAGATAAAAGGCGTGGGATGAGAAAGAATTGGATAGTATGGATGGGATTAAAAGGGTTTGGATAGAAATGGTTTGGATGAGAAAGGAATGGATAGAATGAACGGAGAGAAAGATTTTTTTTAATGAATGAAACGACAAGGATGGTATGGATAGGATGAGAAAGAACTGGATAGAATAGAATGGATGAGAAAGGATTGAATAGAATTAATGGGATTGAAAAGGGTTTGGATAGAATGGATGGGATGAGAAAGAATTGGATAGTATGGATGGGATTAAAAGGGTTTGGATAGAAATGGTTTGGATGAGAAAGGAATGGATAGAATGAACGGAATGAGAAAGATTTTTTTTAATGAATGAAACGACAAGGATGGTATGGATAGGATGAGAAAGAACTGAATAGAATAGAATGGATGAGAAAGGATTGAATAGAATGAATGGGATTGAAAAGGGTTTGGATAGAATGGATGGGATGAGAAAGAGTTGGATAGAATGAATGGATGAGAAAGGATTGAATATAATGAATGGGATAGAATGGATGGGATGAGAAAGGGAAGGGAACGAATGGAAGGGCTGAAATTGAACAGAACTAAATGGGATTAAAACTGTATGAGGATGGGTACAACGAATTGTCTGAATTAAAATAAAAAGGAACTGTGCGCTTGATTTTAAGAGACTCCCCACTAAGAGTCACACGGACACCTGTAGTACATTTGAATTTCCGAGCCGGGTCAACCTTTCCGGTCCCAGTTTGTACTGTACCTAGCTCTATGGACAGGACTAGCCGGGTCAACCTTTCCGGTCTTTATACTTCATATAGGTTGAATTTATTTTTACTAAAGGGTCAGAACGGTTCCATTAAACATTTATTTGAGTAAAAAAGAAGAAGTTATCTTTTTGTTCTTTCTTGATCAGATTCAGACAAAGATTAAAATACCATTCTAAAGGGGACATGCCACTGGACTCTATAGTTTCAGTAGAAGTAAATATTTCCATTTACTATAATAAGATAGATAGAAAGATAGATGTTACCGCCATACTAATTCTATTGGTTGAGAATAGACAACAAACACATGACGGAACCCTGATTGGATCAGGCGCTAATGGACTCGGCATACAGGGGTGTAGAAAAGGAGGGTCACTAAAAATTACGTATACACTCCCTTTAACGAATTGTCTGAATTGAAATATAAAAACTGGCTGAAACCCTGAAATATTCATGATCTGGTGAAATGAAGTGAAATTTCATCTTGTAAATTTCCAGCTTCAGTCTTCATAAATACCCCCACAGGGGGGCTTTATAACCTCAATACAGGGGGATATATAACATAAATAGGGCATATAGGAACAAAGAGGAATAAAATAAAATCCCCCCCATGTTACCCCCCCCCCCCTCCTATATGCATTGACAATGATGTCACCAAAATCGTTAATCACTTTAAATTCTTCAGCACAAAATCAAAATTTCAAAAATACTAAAGGCAATTTTTTTCACTTGTTCAAGCTTTGTATTCACTTCCTATAAATGATCTATATAAATGTTTTCCTCCAAACCCCCTTTACAATAACAATATGTTCCCCCAAAACCCTAATAGCAATTGAAAATATTAATTGTAGCGTACCCACGTATTTGTCTTTATGTTGTTTGAGTAAACTAGGAGACATTGAAAGCTAAAATATCGAGAAACAAGTTTTTATTAAATAATTAAATAATTAGACATAATTAGTTTTAATTATAGACATGTCAGCTCGATACAAACTACAGCGCCGACATGCAGTAGTGTTTGTGTCCGTAGTGTGTGTCTGCAAAATGATCAAATAATACACTTGTTAATACAGTTAAACGGAAAAGCTTAGGTTTAGGTAAAATTAAATTCACCTTGATAAAAGGTTTATTTATTCTAAATTGACAAATAACATATTGATACAAATTAATAACAAAAACAAAAACCTTAAAATTAAGAAAAAAAACTGCTTTTATTTGTACAATGTATGGATGTCCCGAAAATAAAACTAATAGATTGAAAAAATCGTATTTCCAAACCCAGCCTCTTTTATAAAGTACATGTTGAAAAACTTTAAAGTAAAATTAACTGGGTAAATAAAAATGAAAATTGCACTTTTTTGGAGCACCCTGTACCCTGTTCTCTGTACTAATCGATCAATATATATCATCGATATCGATAATTATACGGGTAAATATGACAGATAGATAGACAGATAGATACATAGATAGATAGATAGACAGATAGATAGATAGATAGATGGATGGATGGATGGATAGCAAGGGTTACAATATCTGCACAATTAAAACAAAAAGTCAGGAAATGAGAAAAACTAAGTTTTCACATTAAATCCATCAATATACAATGAATATCAGTGTACACGAGATATACATAGATAGATAGATAGACAGTTAGATATAGAGATAGATAAATAATTAGATAGACAAATAGATAGATAGATAGATAGATAGATAGATAGATAGATAGATAGATAGATAGATATATAGATAGATAGATAGATAGGTATATAAATAGATAAATATATAGATAGATATATATATAGATAGATAGATATATAAATAGATAGATATAAATAGATAGATAGATAGATATATAAATAGATAGATATATAAATAGATAGATAGATAGATATATAGATAGATAAATAGATAGATATATAGATAGACAGATAGATAAAGAAATATATGTATAAATAGATATATTGCAATTACCAATATCTTCGGTCCAATTTATACACATAAGAAAATTTAAGCGAAATTTCTGCTATGACTTTTTTACCTTATAGCTCCTTTTTTATTTAACGCTCAAGAATGAAAAAAAACATAAAACAACTATGGTTGCAAATTTTAAATCTTATTATTCTTCTCAATAGCTCTTTAGAAAGAGAAGCTAAATTTGTCAAAGTCTAATGTGAAATTCACTTTATTTGGACGTTATGTCCTCCCCCCCCCCTGCAGAGGAAGTCTTTATATCAACATGTTTAATATTGTTCTGGTCCAATTAGTTCCGGGGTTTACTTTGCTTTACGTTTACACAGTTGTAGTGATTATAGATTATAGATAAGATAGATAGATAGATAGATAGATAGATAGATAGATAGATAGGGTGTGTCCTCAATATGTATAAGTATAGAAGTAACATCCTGTTCATCTATTGTTCCTTGTTATATCTCATCTATCTATCTATATATAAATATATTATTCATTTATAGATATATATCTATTTGCATAAATATGAATCTATAAGCTTGATTTTTGTATCTATATTTATATTGTACATTAAGGACAAAATCTAAGTTTAAAAATATGGTTCGTGTAAGAACCTAAGAATCTAATTTTTAACCTTTAAATTTCTGTTAGGAGATAGATAGAGATAGATATAACATGCATGGATAGAAAGATAGATAAAAAGATGGATAGATATTGATAAATAGATCCATAAGAAAAGAAAGAGATAAACAGACAGAAACATAGACAAGATAAATAGACAGATAGATAGATTAATAGCTAGATAGATATATAGATAAATAGAAAGAAATATAGATAGATTGATAGATGGATAGATAGATAGATAGATAGATAGATAGATAGATAGATAGATAGATAGATAGATAGATAGATAGATAGATAGATAGATAGATAGATAGATAGATAGATAGATAGATAGATAGATAGATAGATAGATAGATAGATAGATAGATAGATAGATAGATAGATAGATAGATAGATAGATAGATAGATAGATAGATAGATAGATAGATAGATAGATAGATAGATAGATAGATAGATAGATAGATAGATAGATAGATAGATAGATAGATAGATAGATAGATAGATAGATAGATAGATAGATAGATAGATAGATAGATAGATAGATAGATAGATAGATAGATAGATAGATAGATAGATAGATAGATAGATAGATAGATAGATAGATAGATAGATAGATAGATAGATAGATAGATAGATAGATAGATAGATAGATAGATAGATAGATAGATAGATAGATAGATAGATAGATAGATAGATAGATAGATAGATAGATAGATAGATAGATAGATAGATAGATAGATAGATAGATAGATAGATAGATAGATAGATAGATAGATAGATAGATAGATAGATAGATAGATAGATAGATAGATAGATAGATAGATAGATAGATAGATAGATAGATAGATAGATAGNACAGTCTCTACAGTCTCTACAGTCTCTACAGTCTTTACAGTCTCTTCAGTCTCTACAGTCTCTACAGTCGCTACAGTCTCTACAGTCTCTACATTCTCTACAGTCTCTACAGTCTCTACAGTCTCTACAATCTCTACAATCTCTACAGTCTCTACAGTCACTAAAGTCTCTACAGTCTCTACAATCTCTACAGTCTCTACAGTCTCTTCAGTCTCTACAGTCTCTACAGTCTCTACAGTCTCTGCAGTCTCTACAGTCTCTACAGTCTCTAAAGTCTCTACAGTCTCATTAAAGTTCTGATAATTAATTACCTTTTCCACAATCATCGATTTATTGATTGATAACATACCTAGAACATACAGAGTAATTAACTTCCAATAAATAAATACTAATTACATCCTTGCTCCCTCATTAAATAAATAACAAATGGGCCTGCAACACTTCTTATTAATTGTATGTCAATTTTGAAAACGTATGTCCTTGAAAATATAGAGAAAAAAATTGTTGTATCCCTTTTGTGTTCTTGCATCCTGTATCCTGTATAGATTATGTATCCTTTATACTGTATCCTGTATAGATTATCATGTATCCTTTATCCTGCATCCTGCATCTAGCATCATTTATATATTATTATGTATCCTGTATCCTGGACAGATTATTTGGTGTCCTTTATCCTGTATTCTGGATCTTGTATCCTTTATATATTATTATGTATCCTCTATCATGTATCCTGGATCTTGTATCCTTTATAGATTATCCTGTATCCTGTATCCTGGATACATTATGTATCGTGTATCCTGTATAGATTTTGTATCCTGTATCTAATAAATTTATGATTCCTTGATTAGCTAATGTGATATATATAATTAATATATTGAATATTGTACTATAGGTGTAAACTAATATATATTTTATTATCATATATATATATACATTTTATGAATATCCTTTCATTAGTAGAATCATATATTTGATCATCAAGTGAAATTTATTCAGCTAAATTAATGAATTAGATAGCTAAATTAATGGATAAATAGCTAAATAAATGTATAAATAGCTGAAAAAAATGGATAAATAGCTGAATATGAAGTAAAACATGTGTATGTAGAAAAGTAAAACATGTGTA